CTCAAGTGGAAAGCAAATGTTTTGAGAATGATGGAAGCAACAAATGTACAAATGTGCTTGACACAATGGATAGATGGATTGTGATAAGAGTTGTATGAGCCCCCAATAAAATGATTTTTTTTTAATTTTTTTTGCCTAGTAATCTAACAATATGGCTAGGTATACAATTTAATTCTTTAACACTCATCAAATTAAAAGGTTTCCGGTTACATAGAAGGGGGGAAATTACCTCATGAATTTATCTAATATGTCCTCTACCCACATATGCAATCGGAGGAACTGAAGTCCATAGTGCCAAACTAGTTTAATCATGTTAATGATAAACCAGCGGCTCTCCTCAAACACCAGCTTCTCTCCATTATACACCCCCATTAGGCTATCATCGTCCTTTGCAACAGAGAGACCTGCAAAAACAGAAAGGGTAGACAAGTCAGTGGTCTGTATGCTGATGGAGTGGAAGAAGGTAATTTGAAGTTTTCAGGGGACACTCAGAAGCGAGCAAAGACAGGGTTTCCCTCAGCTCCCAGGAGACACATTGAAAGAGTTCTATCTTTAGAACAGTGTGGTTAGCAGTAAGCTGTCCAAAAGTAGGCTCTCCCGAAAATAGATGAGAGGATCATGCAGATACAGCAATCTGCAAACACTAAAAGCCTGGGGTGGGGGTAACGGACACGCAAATACCAGCTTAATTGAATTAAAACACAAAATGTTGACATGAACCTTTGTAGCATGAATTGCTTCTCCTATACATTGGCCTTCACAGGGAAAATGGGAGGCCCATCAGATGTGCACAGGGCATCTGGAACGCAGGTGAGGGAAATGGGGCACTCGCCTATTCCTATGTATCCCAGTTTACATAACTGGGTATTTCAAATACTTGGAAGGAGGCTAAAACTCTAAGTCCCTAAAGAAAGGGCCTGCTGAGACCTGCCAGATTTCTTTCACAATCAGCCCAGTTCCTCAGCTCATGGGGAAGCAGCTGGATGTCCAGGGCCTATGCATGAGTCCGCACCCAGAGCTGTATGACTTTAAATACTTCAGACACTTCATGGAGTGGGGATTCTTCATTCCCTCCATTATAAATTGAGTACCTTAAGGCCCTTGCTAACTCAAAGCATTCTTCAACAGGTATCCAGACCCGTATCCAGGTGTTCAAGAACTGACAATAGCAACCCTCCCCACACCCTCACCCCAAGGCTGTAATTCCAGATAACTAAAGATACAGATAACTCGGGTCCCCTTACAGAAGCGCAGTTCCTAACTAAGGCGATACCAACTGCTAACAGGAAACTGAGGAAGGCAGTTCCAGCAACTTCTCTGTAAAAGACTAAGAGCAAAAGGCGGGAAAAGATTCAGTTCCCCATCTGGCAAAGCGTCCCCACCCCCAACCGGCAGGGGTCACACAGAGATGTGCCCAGTTTCTAAAAGCAAAATTACCTACCCAGGTCTTTAACAAACCGCTTCATATGCAGATTCAAAGGATGGATGACTGAACCGCCAGACTCATATTCTTGGCCCTCCACTGTCAGGGTGGCCAAACGGCCGCCCACCTCGCCTCTTTCGAACAGGTCAATCTTCACACTTCCCCCAAATTTCTGCCGCAGGTAATAGGCTGCTGAAGTGCCACCGATTCCCGCTCCAACAATGGCTATGGAGAGAAAAGAAGAAGGGCAGCAAGAGTTGCTTCCCCTGGAACCAGCTCGATGGGTTGGTGACAGGAGCGGGGGTTACCAGCGACAATCATCAACCATGTAGGGAAGCAGAGGGCTAGGGATCGTCGCAATGCTCAGCACAAGAGTGGGCGGCCTCCTTTATAAATTGACGTGAATCAAACCTTTCCGGTGCCAGATGCCCAAAGACTCTCAGGCCTTGGTTGACGGAGCACCCAGGAGCCTACACGCCCTTCTTTGTGCCCAACGAGGCGCGCAAGGGGTTGCGCCTAACCCGCACCCATAAAACACCCTGTATTTTTGCCTTGCATTGTTCACCCTCATGGATGTGGATACGTTGATTCCAGAAAACAGTTCTTTGAGGGTTTTTGGTTTTTTTGCAGGGGGAAGGGAGAGAATATGGCAGAGAGAGAAAAAAAAATACTGAACGCAGCCAAAGGAAGGGTTCCTTCGGCAATATTGGAGTCGTTTACAGGGCAGAGGTCCTCGGCACCCCAGGGGCCTCGGTATTGGATGACCTCAGCAGAGCTGGAAAGGGGGAAGAGGGTTGAGCTCATCTAAGGAAACCGGCAGGATCGGTCTGGGCACTCGGCTCGGTGTGCTGGGCATGCAAGCGCCTGTCATCGGCCCGTGGGAGCGGTTCGGCGCCCCACGATGAGCTAGAAGCCTATTCTCCCAAAAGGTGGGATACCGGATGGCCGTCTCGCGTCCTCACAGCTCCAAGTCTCCAAGACAGAGGCTACTGGGCACGCTTGGTGGCGAGTCGCCGGCCTGCTTCGGCCCCCACTACGCACTCCATTCCTCAGGTGGGTCTATCTATCTGCACGCGCGCCGACGCACACCTGGGAGACCAAAATCGGCCCTGCACCTCGAAGAGCACGATGTGCGCGGAGGGACCTGCGGCCTCACCCCGCGTCGTCGCGCTGCGGGGCCTGGGTGTCTCGTACAACAGCCGCTCCCCACCCCCACCCCCACC